AGCAACATTTCCATTGAACGTATTATTATATCTCGGTGAAATGCACGCCGAAAATTTTATTTTCATGGATCAAGTTGAGAAAATATCACTTAAATCTATAGTCAATTTAGAAGTATTCAACATCTGACCAAAAATGATGAATTTACTTTAAGAAAGACGATCGTCGAGCCTGGTCTAATGAGAAGATTGCCTTTCGAGGTACTCTTAACAACTCTGACCCAACCGGAGCATAATCTGAACTTATCAAACCAAATCCATCCATATTTTCTTCATATGCAATTTCTACGAAACAATGAGAAATTCCAACCATATTGGCCCAATGCAGAAAATCTGCTAAAGCTGCTTTACGCCGTTCCGAGTATCTGTAACAAAATTGACCCACATATTTTTAGATTCCGACATTGAAAAAAGAAACAAAAAAAAGACAAAGAAAAAACTCCAGTAAAAAAAAATATATATATATAAGGATAAATACATTACGTATACTGATTTATTCATTTCTTCCATCCAGAAGACTTTTTTTTGATCTTCTAATATAAGATCTTCTAATATAAGGATGTACAACTGCAGTATGCTTCGCTAGCCTTGCACTTTCATTTTGTAAGGAACGTTTTTTCTCTAAATATTAAACATTAGTTGAACAAGTTCATTTGCAGTTAATCTCTAGGATTAGCTAACAGAATAGATGGAGACTTTGTACCATTAAGACGTAAAATTCTTAACGAGTTTATGAATGGGAGAAGCAAACTTTTGGTCGAAGTGTAATGGATGCCAATTCTGAATCTAAACTAGGAAAAAAACTCCGTGGTTGACGGCTCTATTCAACCTGACTTTTCATTCTATTATTAGTCAAATAGAAAGTGTTCTAATTAAAACAAACGTTAAATCAATTTCCGAACTCCGTGAAAATGTTTTTTGTATAATTTCAATTTCCGATAAGGATTTTCGAATCATCATATGCTCCCCCAGCAATTCCGTTGTATTCGAAGTAGGAGTACGACACAGTGCCGTCTTCCACAGCTCGCTTGCATGACTTTGTAATTCATTCAAAAATTTTCGGTACTGCGAAACGTCGAGTTTTCCACAAGATGATGAGCCATTAAGTGACTCATTGTTTGAACTCATTGCTAAAGAAGAGAAAAACTTTTACAAAATACCATTTTGTTACAGTCATATAACGCTACGCAGAGTTTCACAGATTTCCCGACTCATTATTCACTTAATCAGTGGATGACTAATAATACTGCCGTGGCAACAAAGACGACTGTTTCAAAAGAATACCCTAGCTAATGATATCCCACTTTCCAACATGGAAGCAGAAAGAGGAGAAATTAAATTTTTTCATTATCAAAAACTTTAAAATGCATACTTATTTGTTTTATTTATTAGGCCAAAATGTTGAAGCGTAAAGGAACAATAACAATAGCCACTGTCTCTTCGCACTTCAAATTTTAAACGTTATATGATAATGAAATGACAGAATTTATTATCCTTACGCAATCAGAAAAAGCGAAGAGAAAGAGGAAGAAATGAGCACCAAAGGAATAAAAAGAATCCAACAAACCTTGAAAAAGGAATATTAACATGATGCTATAAAATGTTAACGAAGTGAAGCACATTTCTCTCGCAATTATTTCAACAAACCCCTTAAGTCAAATTAATTATTTCAAAAATGTTTGTTACGAAGTCTAAGCCTCTGAAAGGAAATCCCTGCGGCACGGAACAAAAATGACCAAGACATTTCCGACGAATCGAACCACAACAAAACCGACTCAATGAGCAGTCAAATAAGATCGGAATGAAAAAAATGTGAATCACCTGCTTTTCTCAGTGTTCGGTGGATAGCGGGGTTGCTATCATGGTGCTTCCTGAAGATATCCCAGAATTTCTGTGCAGTCTGTGTTTGTTTGAGTAATCAATTACAGCTTACTCCTGATTGTTGTGTTAGTAAACAATGAATAATTATCTTTAAGGAGTTAAATCATTCTGTTCAATTCTTCCATCAGTCAACTTCTCAACATTTCAAATGATACGGTTTTCATTGACCAAGACTGGACAGTGTCCAGATTAACAGATGCTTATGCATTTCTTACGATTATTCCCCTATAACGTTCCCAAAACTTTTCGATTCAAATTACCCTCGAAATTAATTTGAAATGAATGAATTAATTTATGGTGGAGGAAATATGATTGTCGCAATTGCCTGACCTTTCAGTGGAGATTAAATCAATATCACTGAAATTTTGTAGTTCTTTTCGAGCAAATAATGGAAATTTAGGTGACAATACGCAGTTTCGAATATGGTTAGAAGGATAAAAATGAAATAATTATCAACAGAAATTTAATTTTTTCCAAATTATTTGCAATTTACAAAATGTTTTAAACTTTGATCGTTACGATGATAAATGTAAACAATTTCAAAAGCGGAACTAATTTCTTTTCTAGGATCAATAGATTGATTGGTATAGCACTTGGAACTAATTAGCAGGGCAATGTCGAAATAACTTTCGAATGAAACTCAAGGAAGCTAAATAAAATTAAAATCGAAGAATTACGCCAAGAAAAAAAAAAGGAAAATTATCTTAGAATATAATTTGGAGCAATGATACAAAAATACCCGAAATAATTTCAAAATTTTACATCTACCAATTTTTTTCCCGCAGAGGTCAAACTTTATCAGTTTTATCAGAGGTCACTGAAATGTTGATATTTCAGCAGTCTACAAGCATTCATTTCCCCTTCTCATTCTTCAGAGATTTTCAATCTTTACAATCGTTTGCTTCAATTCCCAATTTTTTGCTCGCTTTGATTTGAAAAATGAACACCTTCCATAACAATTCGATTCTATTTTGGCACCTTTTTTTTCATATTGTTGTCATAGTGATTCGTCTCCACTATCATCCTGCTTTTGTCACTATCAACTGTCAAGTCTCTACATCCTGTCATCATTTTTTCAATCGTACAGCTCATTTTATACGACGAATCATCATTCAAGCAATGAGAACTCATTTAAACTATGTGACAACTTGAATACCAGTCCTGTTGTTATCGCCCTGGTGATGTAATGTAACTTGAATATCAGTCCTGTTACTACCACCCTGCTGATGCAACACTTCACGTTGACAAAATTTAAGACTAGATTTTTGAGAAGAATAGTCCTCATATCGATCATACCGTTTTCTTTCTTCCACTATTTCAACAAACTCTCGAGAGTGATTTGAACTGATCGATAGATCTCAGTTAGTCAGCATGCTGCACTTAAAATTCAGAAAATATGCCGACTTCAATGTCATCCAAGCCTTCAGGTCTTCCTATTCCAACTTCTTATACCAATCTTATAAAATGACGAGTTCAGTACTTTCATGAAATCACTGATAAGATCATTTTCATTAGAGGAATAATGATTCTTCAAAATGAGGTTCTATTCAACCCATTTTGAGGATCATTTGCCAATTACTTATTTATTGTTAAGGAATGTAATGGCTTTTGGTACGAAAGACTTACTTGTTTGAATTAATACCATAACTTATTTGACAGAAATTCACATTTGACACATACTTTAAGGATAAATGTCCATTATGTCCATTGTCCTTCATGTCATATTAAATTGTATCATGCCCTTTTTCGTCCTTTCGCATGCTACAATGAATCCGATATTGCCTCAAGTTCCTTTATTATCCTTTTCTTGATGTGACAGTCATCAAGAAGGAAACAATCAATTATTATTTGGATGAGAAATTTCAGGATGTTTCGACACCAGCATCAGTTTTTTGGTACCATTAAACCGCAGATTAATTTTGATCCAGAAGCAGTTGCTGAAATTCTCCATAAAGCCATGAAAGGTATTGGATGTGATAAAGAAGAAATATTGCATGTATTGACGACAATTAACAATGAGCAACGACAGGAGGTATTATATGTGTTTTGAAAATTTAATATTTAATTTTGTTCAATTGTATATGAAATCCAATCACCTGAATATTTCTTTTTTTAATTATTACCATGGGAAAAAAATACATTTTTTCCAATTTTTATTTTCTTTTTCAAATCAATGATTAAGGTTAATCAGAAATGAGGTCAGAATAAGGTTAACGTATCATTTGAAGATTGTGATTCCGTATGGTATACCTCAGGAAGGAATGGATAAAGGAATTAAATGAAAGAAGTTTACAAAATAAGATATCCTTCCAACTGGAATTTTTATTTTAAGACTCACTTTGAGGTAGCTTTGCAATATAAATCGATGTATGGAAAAGATTTGATGGATTCGCTAAAAAGTGAACTTCACGGTGATTTTGAAGATGTCATTGTGGCACTGATGATGACACCATCTGTTTACGACGTCCGACAACTACATCAAGCCATTTCTGTATCCTTTCATTCCTTGCATATAATTTTACTGCACTCAAAGCTATTAGCTAATTAAATGAAACTAACCAAAACTACTAGCCAATTAAAAGCCAGATATAGACTTACAAAATCTGCAGAAAAAACTGGCTGTGTGACGTTTCATTTGAATTAGTAACTTTTGGACACTTCAGAGATTTCTGACTTCTGCAACCGTCTTCGTTTGAATTGCTAGAGGTGTATTTGACTAACTTTATAATATCATTAAATCAATTTTGTAAAATATCCGAGATGGGAAATTATGGAAGTCGAACTGGTAGCGATTTTCTCCAACTGAAACTTTGTAGGGAATGGGAACTAAGGAGAAGATACTGGTCGAGATAATGTGTTCAAGAACAAACGAAGAAATTCTTTGGATCAAGGAAAAATACGAGGAAGATTATGGCGAATCGTTGGAAGATGGAGTAAAAGGTGATACAAGTGGACATTTTGAACGTCTTTTGGTTGCCCTGTTGCAAGGGAACCGGAATGAATCCATAGCAGTTGATTATCGGAAAGCGAATCAGGTGATGAATACTTCGATTTCTCTGAAAGAAATGCCTCTTGCCTATTTGGTTATATGTAGCATTATTTTGAACAGGGTGTTGTTGACCAAGCAATCGGAGGAGTAGTAAAGAACAATATAACGATAAGTGTACATGAAGTGAAAGTAAAATTAACTGTTAAGCTTTATTTCATTTCTTTATGTACAATAACATCCCATGTTAGGACCGTAAATGTTCAGATAAAAGAAGTTCGAGCATTCACATGTTATATGCATTTTATTTAAATTTTTATTTTTGAAATGGAACTGTTTTCAATTAACTTGTTTTTATCAAATGAAAGAGTATGTAAAGCTAATTAGATTGATTGTTTTTAACTTCCTGAATTATCATTTTTAGGATGCGCACGAGCTGGAACAAGCTGGCGAAAAGCAGTGGGGCACGGATGAGTCTACATTTATCAAAATTTTAGTTACTGAAAGTATTCCTCAATTGCGGCAAGTTTTGAATGATTACGAACAAATCGTTGGACACAGTATTGAAGAGGCAATTAGGGTTAGCTTGAAAGACCTATTATTAATTACTTTTGCAAAAATTAAATTCGCCCGTCAACCAACATTAAATCGGCATATCACTCTCATTAGCATCATTAAATTTTTACGATGAAATAAATTTGTTCTTACTTGTTTGGCTTAATCCACGCTTAGCCAGTCTTCTTTGCTATTCCATTTCAGCCAATGAAATATTTTAATTCTGCAGAATGAATTCAGTGGTGATATAAATGAAGGATTAATAGCATTGGTAAAGAACATTCAGAATCAGCCTGGATACTTCGCTTTTGAACTGTATCAGGCAATGAAGGTACCATCCGTCCACGTATTCTAGTACTGTTTTCAAACCTACCCATTATTTATCCATACAATTATTATTGACGTAGAATGATGCATTTACATCATCAAAAAACATCACAATAGATTGCCGTATTGTTGTTTGTAATCATCAGTTTGATTTTATTCTTTCAAACTTCTTCAAAAATACATCAGCTTTGCAAATTACATTTTTACGTAATCTTTATAGGGTTTGGGAACAAAAGACAAAGATCTTATCCGAATCATCGTATCACGTTCCGAAATTGATTTGGCACTTATTAAGCAACAATACGAGCAGAGCTATGGTCGATCGCTAATTGATAGCATACGATCCGAATGTTCTGGCGCATATCGTGATACGCTTATTGCTATTATTCAAGGGAATTAAACTCTGTATATTTTAACCATTTCGTTCTTTTAATTAAATAAACGTTATTCATTCTATCTTTGATTTTCAATATTCTAAAATGTGGGAGTAGGCAAAATTGTTTAATTACGAAATAGAGTATTGTTACTAAACTCGAGATTTCTTAAACACTTTATTTGAAAAAAATTTTCTTTTGATTTAAAATCTTACACTAAAACAAACCAAGAACTACACAATATTGTTCTTCGGTCTTACTTTGGTCTCTAGGCAAGACATCTTAATTTAAGGAATTAGTAGTTAATCGACTTTTTATACATGGCATGATTAAGCTTTATTAAATCATTTCGGTACTCTCATTTCCTAACTTTGTCATTTGGTCTACGAATAGGACGACTGGTACTGATTTTGGAAAGGTCAAGTGGCCTGAGTATGGATTAATAAATTTCTCATTATTCTTACTTGAGGATGGAGATGGTCGAGAAAGAATACACGGTATCTTTGTCAAATTTAACACAGCTGGAGTTAAACCAATATTGAAGTCTTCTAGCCACTTTGATCTTTTTCGGACGATTGGTCTTGACATTGCGGCACATAAATTTTCATAAAAACTCTTAGTTCGCTTTCAAAACACTTTGATTTATTCCTTTGTCAAGTAAAAAGAACTGATACCTTTCAGTCAAACACCCATCTGCCAACAATCATTTCGTAAAATGACACTTAAGCTCCTTCCTTACTCATTCGAGAAAATGCCAAGTGGCTTGAAGTTACTGCCTTAGACGAGACGACCACTAATCAAAAGAGAAAGTAATGAAAATTGAGGAAACAACTGACTCAATTAAGCTAACTAGACCGGCTAAATTAATCAATTTCTTCCAGATCCTTAAATGTTTAGAAACTTCTCGCCAGTCCAATTTCCATTTCTCAAGCAATACATCGGAAGTAAGCCATCCAGCCGCTATGTGTTATCTTTTGCACAATTATTCCATTTGATAGAAAAATAGGGCAAACAAAATCAATACAATAATTACTGGCTACACATATGCGGAAAACATCACATACACAAACATGTTTCGAAACCAAATTACAGCTAATGGCATTTGTATTTGAAGAAATGGCCCTTCCGGAAGGAATTGGGTGAGATCTTAGTAGTCGATGTTGATTTCAACACTGGATTTTTTTAAAGTGATCCCGATTTGCACACTTCCTAGAAAAATCTTAATAGGAAAATATTACAGTTTGAAAAAATAAAGATTTCACGGTACGGTAACAACAGAAAATAAAATAAGTGACATGTAAATGAACCCAAGTGAGCAAATAAGCTACAGAATGTAAAAAACCTTATGTGCAACAACAAAAAAATTCAAATCTTCCCACAACACGGAAGCATACATTTGGTTAAATAAAAAAGTGAAAGATACAACGAAATTTCAACTGAATGAATGCAATCTTATGTCATCTGCTACACTGACATGATAAACAATAACAGAATGCTACAACATTACTTTGTTTTATTGTCAAATGCATATTTGCTATTCCTTTCTTGCAGAGACAAAAAAGCAAACGAGTGCTTTTGCTGCGAGTCAGCTAAAAATTAAGAACGAAGCAAATTCTATCATCATACGAAAATCACATAATGAATGTTTTAACAATAATTGAGATTGCTTTCGGCAAAATTTAGCAGCTAAATTAAAATAAAAATAGAAAATGAAATGAGCAGAACAGAAAAGAAGGAGCAAACAATTTGGTGAAGATGGTCCTCAAGAGAGTGTACGGAAGTATAAGATTATCCTCTTTTCAGACTGGAAGTTCTAAAACTAACCGTTCTTCATTTAGTTAAAACTTTTAACAAATGCTTCATAAAATTAAATATTGCAATCTAAGGCATTATTAGTTGAAGTCACACGAAGATTTCCATTGCATCGATGAATGCGCGATAACATTCCCTTACCTTCCTGAAGGTTTCTAAATTCCCAACATTCTTCGCTTTATTTATCGAAACATTGAATATTTTAAAGATTTTCAAATTCATAATTGAAGGGATTGATTTAGTTGGGAAGGAGTCATCTTTCGTACTGAAGAGACAAACATGATCATATTACTATATTACTGAAGAGTGTCATCATTCATTTCATTTGTTAACTTTTCTGTCGGTGAATCAGGTTCGTCAATATCAATGATAGTTCCATGCCATGACCATGAATTTAGCAGATCATCTGTGCCATTCCTGATGTTTGCGATGTGAATATTATGTGGTGCTGGTTTCTCCTCCTGGACCTGTTCAGTTGGTTTCAGTATCATCGGTACATTATTGCCATATATTGTAAACCAAAGGTCAATGTAATGACCACGTAAACGTGGCTCCTGAAACATCATGTTATTTCACGCCACTTATTATGATAGCAAGGAATTTATTTCAGTGAATCCAAACAAATTCCAATTTGTGGTTTTTGTCACTCATGCAAAATTATTTGAACTTGCAAGGTACAATAAAAAAGTACAAAAACGCGTATGTTCCTTGTGTTTTCATCATAGCAGGATCACCTCTTCATGATAATAATTTATCGTTAAGAAACAATATTATCAGCTAATTCTAGTTAAAATAAGTTCTTAATATTCATAGATAACATATGGAAAAACCGTTTTAGCATCACTGATTTGAATCCATAATTTGATAGCTATGTCACGGGACAATGGCATCCATGTTGCATCATTTTCGGCACTAAAAGAATGACAAAAATATTCAAAAATTTCCAAATAAACAATGTATTCTCCCCGATATATGTTAAAAGTAAAAGGCGAATATAATAGTAAGACAAAAAGCTAATGTCTTCTTAAACTTGGAATTATGCCAGAATCGGACTATTGAGACAGCCTCGTCTATAACTTCGACAAACTTTGGTTTTGCTTTGATTCATTGTCCAGAAGAGATCTTTGACGTTCTTACATGATTTTTCGTAATTGCTATCTACCTTTTAATAAATTCTTCTAGTTCAAATTGCCTTCCTGAACACAATTTAAAATAGAAAGGATACTAAAAGGCAGATAACAATCACGAAAAATCATGTAAGGAGCGCCAAAATCCACGCTGGGCAAGAAATCCGAGTAAAATCAAAAATGAGTTACTCTAATCTCAAAATACGACTTTCTCAACAAAAGCCGCAGCATTGACCTATATGTATTAATTAAAAATGAAGAACCCCAAAATGATGCAAAGTGGCGGTTTAAGTGACAGTTGAGATGCAATATACAAGCGTACAACCGGCTCAGGGTCATTGATACATAAATCTATTAATCTGTTGGCAACTTCATTAACAAAAGATGGGGATTTGAATCGATAAACCATGTCAACCAGAAATGTTAACGCTGCGAGACGCATCTGAAAGCATAATTATTTTATTAAAGCACACTTTCACTGAGTTCACTTTAATCGCGTGGTAAAACAATAAATATATCTTTAGCGGCCTTTAATATAGAATTTATAACCTAATTTTTGATGAACATTTTGGAAATTATCCTAAATTTTAAAAATAACAAACCTCTAAAATATTTATAAAAATTAATATGTAAAAAGTACACCTTCTTATTTATAAAAATTAATATGTTGAAAGAAGCTATACTTTTCAAAACAAATTTTAAGAATCATACCGGTACATACATATTCGGCTGCGCAAAGGACCAAAATACTTTGGGATCAAGTGGGATGTGAAACGTTCGCTGCATCTGCAATAATCGCATGTCATTTTTTTGAATAATACCGCAGAAGCTGTGAAGGAATCATGTTTTATTTTCCAGTGACATGGAAAATACTTTACATATTCCACATTTTTGCTATGAATTCGACATAAACTCACGTGATATATAGCTTGAAGTGCAGTAATTCCAATAATACGACCAAAACTAGGTTTCAATGTATCCATATTTAAAGCAAGAGTGAACTCAGATAGCAATTCCCTCATTTCGGTATCAAGAGAAAGGGGACTCATGTCTATAATATCTCTGCTCTCGGCTGGTATCAGTGTAGCAGCTAAGGAGTTTATTAGTGATGCCCGATAATGGTCGTCCGAATACCTGGAAACATTTTCAGATTCCTTGAAATGAATAAAACTTCGGTGTGTTTTCAATATAAAACTCTTCACATTTGAACTCCATTAATATAAATGCCTTCTAATTCAACAACTATATAATGAAATACCTCCTAATCCAACAACTATATACCTGTGTAGAGAATATTTCCTCACCTGTTCACAGTGTTATCATTATATTTGATTAAACCAATAAGAAAATGATGAACTTCTGAAAGGGCACCATTTGAAGAAGAGCGCAGTCGTGCCAAAGCTTGAGGTATTGCCTAAGACAAAACATTAAAATACAAAAGAAATGATTAGCATGGTTGACACCGACAAACTTAGAGAAAAAAGCAAAAAAAATAATGTAGCATTCCAGAATTGAGGTTTATTAGCATAGCTTTTTAATATTATTATTAGCATACACTTGTTGCTGTAACCAGTTCATCCTGTTTAGTTAATGAAGATGTAAAAATAAATTCTGAAAAAATTAATATACAAATGCTAAAACAGAACTTATTCGGCGATATCAATAAATTTCGGTATGCAAAATGAAATAAAAACAAACAACAGGAATGGTAATGAACTGACATGCATCAAAAAATATAGCTGCAAATTTGCAGAGGTGGCTACAAAATTGTTCGGTTTTGGAATATGTGGCGCAGATTTACAACCGAAAAATTTCTTGAACAAAATCATCAAAGCTGGTGGACCCAACCATGTTTCCGGCAATTTATTTACAACTTCTGCTAGGATATATGCAGCTCGACATCGTACCCTAAAATTTAAAAAGTAGATACATAGAAAAACGGTGGAAGGCTTGATACAGCTACTTCAGATTATTTAATCACATCTACAAAATATGCAATTGGTAGAACTATAAAGTCACAATGCTTGCCGGTAGAAGAATGCTTCCGTTTCGATGGTTTCAATAAGAACGGCTCTAGCGTGTGGACTTGGAAAACGTTGTAAAATGTCAAGTGCTTGAAGCTGTGCCAAGACGTCTCGCTCATATTTCAACATATATTCCCACTGATAAACCGGTTGTTGAATGTTAACTTTTCGCAGCAAAAGCAGATCAGGATCTATCCTGGAACTGATTGTTTCCAAAAAAGAAAAAGAAAGATTATAAGGGCAGTCATGAAAATGTATTTCTCTGTAAAATTATTTGGCAGACTGCAAAACCTTATCCAAAGAACCGGAGAGTCAGGATCCATATTTGCCAAATCAATTTCAAGTTCTTCTCCAGTGGAAAGTGGAATTTTCTTCTTCTTTTGCCTTCGTCCCTATAACGGAACAACATCAATGATAACTAGAATCTAAATTTAAGAGAATGAAGGAGATAAGACCCAAATTGGAGAAAGACATGATAAACAAAAATTCTACATTCAAAATCATAACTTCATTTACTATAAGTTTAAAAAATGTGAAGCATTTTAGAGAAATACAACAGAAAAAAATACAACGATATACCTACCATACACACGGTAAAAAATCTAACTCCCACTTTATTTTATACAAGAAATTTTGAATTGAACTAAACGATCAGAAGACACCCACCTGGGTAATAGGCAGCACTAAAAATATAAATCATGTAACCTTTGAATGGCACTGGAGGTCATGCTTCGAATGATTGGAATCAATCTGTACAGTATGTGTAAACGATCCATCTAATTCCTGAACCACAACAATTAATGGACCAACGTAACTGAAACACATGAATTAAATGATCGAACTATCTGCAAAAGTTTTTTTTCTTTACTCAATGCCATAATCTCCTTAGAAGTTCAAGAGATTCAGAATGATAAAATGAATTTTCTGAAGAACTGGGACAAGAATTTTCCACTCCTTAACATAAGAATCATTTCATAAAATTCAACGAACCTTTGCCGTCCCCGATTAGCAGAAGGTTCTTGCTTCACTTCAAGTTCAATCATATTTCGTTTACGATTAAAAGCATATTGCACCTGAAACACCAAAGATCGAAATGGTGTATGAACAGGATTTAAAATAATGATCAAATGTACAATTAAAAATCAATTACACAGCACGAATAGTTACCCTGTAATTTTTGGCATGGAGCCCAGTTTTCCTTTAAAAGAAGAAAAAAAAACAACTGAATAATAACAACTTATGAAGTCTTATCGTTGATAAATGGAACATGAAGAATTTTATATTGTTCCACTTTTGAATGTTTTAAGACATTCGAGTCGTGTGTGGTTAACTGCTACTAAAAACAGATAACACTCGCATACTTTTCCCACTGTTTCCAAAAGTTACTCTACCACTAACCCAAAATTTTGCATGTCCACCATTGTGAATCCACTGCTCCAAAAATGTCGGCAATTCTTGGCCCGTAACACTAGAAACAGTACGGAAAAACGATTCCGTTGAAACAGTCATATGCTGCCAATGAGCTGGCTCCTTCTGCAGTTGGCTTGCCTGCATCGCTACGCTTAGTATTTTTTGTATTACCTACAACTAGAAAATGAACAGATTTACTAGAATTTCTGAAGGTTTACTAACAAATGAAGGAAGATTCTGAAAACTGCTCTTTTATGACATCACAATTTTCTTTTTCTTCAAAAAGGACACGTGAGGAATACCAAATGACCACATAAAGCAATATCCTTTAATCAACTCCCACCATGATTAACAACAGAGATTTCACAATAAATAAAGCACCAAATTTAACCTGCAAAAATGGTTCCTTGCCCAAACGTTGGTTAAGCATTCGCATAACAAGATGTCCTTTCTTGAACAAAGCATCCGCATACAGGGGAGAGCAAGTATACGGATTTCTTGGATCGAAATGTAAATATCGCTGAAAAATAAAAAACTTTCGAAGACATAGAAAATTTACCATCATTATCTTTGTAACTAACTTCTTGCTTTTTAGGTCTACGTATATAACACTTTGGTTAGACCAAGCAATATAATGGAAGGGCAACAACAAACCATGTTCCATTTCTTGCATATTATTATGTTCAACATTTTCACACTTTAGAAGTATTTCTTAGCCTGAAAATAATTAGAGTACTCAAAAGAAAAATATATGATGAGAAAGCTCACTTTGTAATTAGTATTAGAGGGCCGCAAAACAATCTTTCCCCAACGCGTTTCATAGTCGGAAACACAACTGAGCATTTTATTGATCTAAAATATTTTCTTCACAAGAAAAACAATTTTCAATTTCTCCACAATTCCTTCACAATTTTTTTCACAAGAAAATATTTTCTTATAAGACTATTTTCAAAAAACTGATCAAACTTATGGATCATACCTGGTAAAGGTTCTCAGAAAAACCGAAGAATCGTTCTACAAACATACTAGTGACAGATCTGCAAATATCTGGATCTTTCAGGAGACAATGTAATCAAAAATCAAGTTCTTCTAAGAGCTAAAAACCATTTAAACGATATAAATTCTAAAAAATCGACAAAATAGAAACGGAAATCCTAAAAATTCTCCTATTGTTGTAGCAAATTAGGAGAACATCCGATTTTCTTTTTTTTTACTATGCTGTGGAAAGAAAGGAAGAAAAATCCAGGAGTTATGACCCGCATCTTTTTTCTCTTCTTACTAGCCGTTCAACTGCTTATTCCTCACTTATTAAACATTTTATTTGGTTGAAATATAATGATTCGTGTAACCTCCATTCGTGTGCGTAATATACTTAAGAAAGATGAAATAAAAAACCTTGCAAGGGAGGAAACCAGCCAAATATCCAACCAGCATGTTGAAGTAACAAAACATCCAAAGAATTGTTGCGCTACCGCATAAGCAAGGCATTGACGTGTCATCTAAAAACAAGCGGTTGATTACAAATTCAAAGTAAATTGGCATAACTTTAGAAAAGCATCTGAGATTAAAGAACTCGAATGGTTTAATTCAAATCTAATGATTTTAACTGAGTTGGATTCAAATAATTCCATCATGTGTTTAATTGTAATACAAATATCCAAAAATTTCTGAACAAAAATTTACTTGCACAACATCCAAAATTTTCTTATGATACAATAAGGTGAGCGAGAGCATTGATAAACCAGTATAAGCCGTAACTTCATCCGGAATCTGGAAATATAAACTCTAGAAATAATATTTCAAAATAAAACAGAAGTTAGGAAAACAAGAAGTTCTTGACTGCCCAATATTTCTACTACAATATTTTTGTGTTATTCAAACCAAGTCAAAATCTCTAACTCTCCTATCTAAAAGCTTACTTCAGTTATGCAAAAATCATGCATATGCAGAAATTTCTTAATCGTTTTCAAAAATCTTTAGCTTTTTTGTTCACCAGATGAACTTTTCATTGATATAACCTCGGTTTTTTAATTTTATTCGCCATAAATCAGAGATATTAAAGAAAAACTTAAATTAAATAACCTAATGCCACGAACCTGATAAACGAAAACTTGTTTGTAGGATGAAAAGGGAAATCGACAGGAAAGGAGTTCTTCAAAATATTCAAAAACTCGATCAATTGTTGAAGTTGTGTGCTTTACGAGAGGATATAGTGATGGAAGTGCGAAACTTGTTATCTGTAAACGAACACAAAGTTTTCATATCATTTTTAAAATTTGTTGACGATTTCCGACAGTAATTTGTAGCGAAATAAAATAATCATACTTCAGGCATATCTGGATGTACAACTGGTGTGAAACACCCAACTGCAAAACCGATATTAACTGCAGATGTCGGTACTAAAAGCTGATAATGATAAATTTTTTCTTGTAGATCAGTCGTATACTCTGTATCCTGCAAAAACTTTAATAAGTGCATATCAAGCGAATAAATTGATGCAAAGAATTCTAAATTGGCATACAGACATGTTCCTATGTCAATGAATTCACAAGTTTCCTTTTCCATCATTAAAAAAAGAATTCTCTAACGTGCTTGAATCCATAATGTACAGAAATGTCACTTCAAGCCTAGCAACGCAACATCAACATGTCATAATTCTGATACAACGACAAAAGTTTATAGTATATTTCTGATAGCACATCAGCAAAATATTTTCAGGAGAAAATATAGATAGATAAAAACTTTTAACTTCGAGAAACAAAGTAGCACTTACAAATAATTCGCCACTGGCAACTGCTGTAAACATAAGATCAACAGTTGCTTCGATTCGCCATAAACATAACTGATCAGGTGTATCCATACAAGGTAGCCAGTGACGAGTACTCGATAACATATTTGACCTAAAAAAAATGAAGATACTTCTGTCCATAAGCCTTTGTCACAAAGATAAGAAAAAGATCAATAAAACAATGAGTTAAAAATTGCTTAACGATTTCAGACTCCTAGAGAACAAACTCTATTTTTAAAAATTAATTCTTTTGAAAAAGGTGATAGTCACAGGGTAGTGAAATGTGGACAGAATGGTAATCGATTATTTATATCTGACGTAGTTTTTATTTTTCCTCATATAAAAGTATACCTATAAGTGTACATGTGCGCACCGCTCTCCAAAGTACCATCATCAGAAAATGAACAAACAAAATGTATGCCCTGAATCGATCATAAATCAAAATGGATAAATAAGCAAGCAAATAATAACACCAAATAAAATAACACTAAACCTTTGAGATCACCCAAATTACATGAATAAGCTGCCCTTTAGAAAACCAAACTTATTAAATGTTGAATTTATGAAAAAAAAGTTGAGTTAACCAAAAACATTTCTTATGACAAAACTGCATAACAAAACATAATCATAACAAAATCAACAACAAATTCCCTCTTTCACATTATCATATTATAAAAACCTGTTGAACTTTTAGTGAAAAATCATGTAGAAGTTTCCAAAAGGTTCATTAAATATTAAGTGAAAAAACTTACATGCTTTGGATTAACAACTCTGACATCAATTCCAATTTTGATAACTTTTTGTTCATCCATAAGTACATAACAGCTTTCTGGAACATTAATTAAAAGTTCACCCTCACAATCTTCCAGCTCATCGTACATATCGTGTGAAAGTCTGTGCAAACTTTGTTCCGCTTTGTGACTCAATATCTAAAAATTTACTTCATACATGATAGAACCTAATGACGAAATTGATGATTAGGATAAACCTCACTAACTACTACGTTACATAATAAGGAAATAAAAGTGATTGAACAATTTTTTCGCGGTGTTTAGAAATTTACTAGAATAATTTTCTAAATTTTTACATCTTTACCAATCAAATTCGTAAGCTATTCGTATTATTTCAGAACTAACTTTGAGAGGTTCATTCCGAATATATTCCACATCTTCATCATTTACAGTAATTCGTCCGGTAACACCTTCTGGGAATTCGTTTGGCAACATAACATCTGCAGAAAAAAAATTACTTTAAATATATCTGTTATTAAATAATGTTTGCTAAATATTACTAAAAATATGGCCATGCACAAACCTGGCCCGACATTGAGACAAATTTGTCGTAGTTCTGGATGCAACGGTGCCAGAGAAAGCTCGGTAAAGACAGAAAATGATCGTTCTTTGAAGTGTACATCGGTGATGGAGACGAACTGTGACAAGACACGGAAGTTACAATTGTGGAAAGAAGAGGCATCTTGTGGGCTTTCACGGCGTACTGCGGACAATATCTCCTCACCCAGTGCTGGTACCAATGAGTCAACGACGTCTGCACAGGAGGCGGAAGGAACTTCCGTTTTATTACCACTCATAACATGCAATCAGTTCCTATCGCGCTAATCGCAGAAATTAAATTACTGAAACTGATGAAATAATTACACATACGCAGTACTATTATAAGTTATAAGTGAAATTTGAAATTTGAAAGCAAATGAATAAATCAGCAAAAGAAACACTACGCTTTTACTACCAGTAAGTGCAATAATAACACGTGAAACGATGCGAATAACGCAAACATTCAGGTAATAATTTCTTCCATACTGCACGAAATTAACTGAATATAAGATATAAATGTTAACATATCGAAATGAATCAAATAAAGTAACTTTTTCGGACCAATAATTTCCTTATCCGATCTTTCTATGCTTAAATCGTTTAAGATTCTAGTCAATCTTTTGTTCCATATATACTGGAAGATATGTTTTGACAAATGCATCTTTGTAACACGTTAACTTGAGCATTTCTTTACGTGAAAATAGCATGTCACTTGACGACAGTAGCATAGGTAATGCCATCGTGAAGCGGAAGAGGCGCAAGCAATGAATTCACTTAAAAACGGATTTGATAATTTAATTTACGGCGATAGGTACAAGGCCCTTGGCGCGTAAGGTCGTCAAACGTGTTACGAATTCAAGAATGGTGAACTCATGTGCTCCAATGGTGGATCATACCATTGTCATTTCTCCCGGATCATTCGTATTCTTAATTAGTGCCACCGATTTTCTTCAACCATGGCAAAGACTGAGGGTTCTTTCTGTTCTTTGGGTAGTAGCACCTCAAACTTCGGCAATTAAACCTTTATACCTAGAGGTTGATTAATACAGAAACGAATTCAACAATTACAATATCAATAAGACAAATTCAATGACGATATCAATAAGAACAAAAGGGGAGACCAAAGACCAAATGACGTCCGATACCGTCTATTCAACCGACCTGTTGAAACACGTCTGTCAAAAATGATTTGGCGCTCAGGGCCTTCTTCTTCCTCGAATAGGGCGGATCCTGGGATAGTTCTGAGGTCACTTTCGAGGTCATTTCTGAGGTCACTTCTGGGGTCACAAGAAATATTATTAGAGGACATAAACTCAATGAACGCACAATATTAGCTTACATTGTACAGTATATCTACACATACAATACATTATACCAGCAGTATCAATGCAATTATTGATTCACTGCTTCTCTTCGTGATTTCAGCAACACTCCGGAGACAGTGATTTATCTGGACTAAAGTGAGTGAGAAAGTAACAGGAAGCAAAAGATCTCTTTAAGAAAGCCAAGATGCACTTGAGGTAATTCCATGCAAACTATGATACTGAGGTGGATAGTGAGCAAGAAATAATGAAGAAAATTGCTACAAAATTGCTAGGGATCGAATGGAATAATATCAAAGATGAATTTATTTGGAGCTGGAAGATCTCAGGATTCAGATTAAACGTCAGATATTACAATTCCATGCTGCTATTTACGATCCATTGGGATTATTGTGTTCGATCATACTCCCATGAAAACTATTGGTTCAAGACTTATGGAAGAAGGGTGTGTTCTGGGATGAAAAATTAGAACCTGAAGAAATGAGACGCTGCTTGGAGTTAGAAAAGACATTTAACCAACAGGAGGTCATAAAAGTATCTCGATGGACGTTGCAAGAGTGCTTCAAGATGCATGTGTTTGTAGATGCATCCCAAAGAGCTGCGGGACCAGCAGTATATGTACGTAGAAGTAATATCACTGCATCCAAACCACAACTGATATACGGAAACACAAGATTAGTTCTGAAACGAGAAAGCAGGAATCAATTAGCCAGTATTGCTCGATTACTCGCTGTCACAACTGGAGTAGGAGTACTGGAATTCATTAAACAAGAAATCGATGCGGAAAAAGTATATTTATGGACGAGTAGCGCTTGTGTCCTGCACTGGTTAAAAAACCGCCGGTAGGATCCCGATATGTCTCAAACAGAATTGATGAGATAAGATTGAATTCCGTCATGCAAGATCAGCAAGTAATCCAGCAGACCAAGT